CGCTTATATCAATACATACGGACAACTATGGACATACGTTCGATCGGAACAATGATGTAATACTGGATAGAGGGAGCACAAAGAACACAAGAGAAATTTTAGGGCATGGCACTCGGATCAATCAGCAATCAACAAACACATCAACCAATCAAAAAAATGTCATAGGCAAACATAAGATCAAGAAACAGGTCAAAAGGGGGATACAATCAAAATAAAGGTGCTAACAACGTTAGGTTAACGGTCAGCAGCAACCAATCACGATGGAGGTAGATAGAATGAGCTACAGATCAGCCGTGGAGAAATTCGAATACTTCACTTCTATCAGAAGTTTCTGATGACGATGTTGTTCAGAAGAACAACGAAAGCTGCACAACCAAAACGTCCAGCTCAGAGAATGAAACACCAACACAATCATCCACCTGAGCTACAAATTTTCTCCACGATCTCGAAATTTTCTTTCTTTCCCGATCATCTTGAACACATACCAACAACGATAATCAAGGACCTTCTCAGCAGGATGTCATTAAATATTTAGTTATTTTCTAAGGTTTGGTTTATATTTCATAATTGAAATATTGTAGCAAGACGATTGGCTGGAATATTCAGAAATCATACAACTGATCATGGTCCTACACTGAGTTATTCTAATCATTGTAATGAAAATTAGATCAGAAGGACAAATGGATTATTTAATGGGCCAAAGGTCAGAACTTATTTCTTTCACTACTAAGTGGTGTTAAGCATATACGAAAAAACGTGAAACTTTGGAAGCTAGTTTTGATTAAATCAGTTTGCACAGTTTCTGTGTATACACCAAACAGTTGGTTTATGATATTTTTATGTTTTTCCCATTGTAGGCCTTCATTTGACCTATAAAGTGTGGCCCTATCTTTTGCTGTGTACAAATGACAATTAATCAGACATAAATCTGTTGCTCTATCTTTTATGATAAGGTTTCATTTGTGTATTTAATATTTTGTATTCATTTAGTAGTCATAATGTGTATAAACTTTCGAATTTTGAGTTTGAAGGATCTGTAAAATATTTGTTAAAAAACAAGAGAGCTGCTTACTCTTCCTGATGTTGTAACTAACAGTAGAAGGATAAATTTTGAAGAGATGATCAACGGTTTGACGTACACAACAGCTGATTAAGCTTTTATGCTGGTTTGGAAAAGGAACATATTTATTTTATTCAGTGGGATTAGAACTATTTTGAAGTTTAAATTGCTGCTAAAATCAAAAATAAAAACAAACTACAGGATTTGTATTATAGGGAGATGAGATCAAGAGAGACAAGATTGTATGACTTATAAGTAATAACACGTCAATGAAGACACTGAATACAAATGGGAAGGTAGAGAAGATGTAAGTATTAAGTTAGCTCTTACGATTCAGGAATAGACAGTAAAATGAGCAAATCTTACGGTGTATATAGTGTTGTCCAAAACAACACAAATAATTAAAACAGTTGGTTATAACGTGATGTTACTTCATTACGATAATCATAATAAATCGTGTGAAGGCTTACAATTGACCATTGTTATTTTAACCACGATAACACTGGTTTTACCACAAGCATTATATCAATTACATTAACTCTTAGAGCGAAAATTTAAACTTGATGCGTTTCTCAAGCTCCAAGAACCTCTATCTGCTCTTAGGATTGGACGTAAAAATGTTAATCCAAGCTGTTGTTAAAGATTTATGTGGATTTTAAATAGCCTAATGAATTACTGTTAATTCGAAATAGGCTGAAACATCGACAAGGCACAATCACTATGTCGGATTGGAAGTAGTCACATTAATAATGCACAGTATTGTTATAATAAATCAACACAATAAAAAGTATCTAATTGTTCATTAAATATACTAATCATCCACTACAATTCAGTAAGGAGACAATAAAAAGGCGTTTGAATCTCACATAGTTGTTGTCTAGTGAATTAATCTCCATATTTTTAATAGATACTTATAATACTGTCGTGTCATGGCATTTTTATATAGTCCATGGTGTTAGCCCTCCCTTGGTTCAGTATTTGTTTTTGTAGTAAGAATTTTCCGGTTATGTATCTCTTGAGACCCTGACTTTGTGTTCCAGTATTGTACCTTTATTGGTTATCTATTAGAATAATGAAAAGCACTCATTATTACTAATCTGGTCTTATGTTTTTACAGTTTTAATTTTTGTAACGTAGAAATTCGGATCCTCTGTTTCTTATGTGCACAAATGAAGCAGTCAATGATATAAGGTGAATTCCCACATTATGGTGGTGAAAAGTTCTCATTTCCTCTGAAGAAATTTCACTCAGAACACCTAACCAATACTAAATTGTACTGTTTGAAGCAATATTTCAAGTTGTGTTCTACACGAGAAGTATTTACGAGAATTTATATGGTAGGGAAATACTGACAAACATTCAACCTTTAGTTACAGTTAACATTGATTTTTGCCACAAAGCACAAACTATGTTAGTGATAATCATAAAATGTGAAGATTTATCGACTAGACGGTATTTAAGTCAGATAGGTTTTCGAATAATCTGTTACAGACGTGGGTTGCTCAAAATGTTTTTAATTAAAATTAAAAACGTTACTGAGTACACGAATTACAAAAAAGTAACTATTATTGAGATTCGTTTGGAGAATGATTAACTTGAAAAAAATATTATGAGACGTTGAAAAAGTTGGACATTTTAATGCTGAAAAGAAGTTTTATATGTCTTCCAACCAAAATTGATGAGATACCAATAAGAGGAGGCAGAAGGATCAGATGAGCCACTGAGAAGAAGCCTTAATGAAACCAAGTTGACATGGTTCTTGAGAAAGAAACATTTCAGATAGGAAGCCTTCCATAGATATTCGATATGTATTCTCATGAATTTATCTAAATAAAGGAAAAGGAATTATGCTACTATTCGTAAGGACTTTTGAATGATAAGCTTACAGAGAATATCAAGATATACTTACCAGTGATGTCAGTCATCTTTTAACAACTTTGGACATGTATGTAAATAGGTTTCAGATGGTCCAGAAAGATGTAATTATCAAAACAAATCTTAGGATAGTCTAGGTAGTAGCAGTATAAATAGTGGTAGAAAAGATTCAACATAAACTATCACATTCGAAAAAATGGATTCTTGTATTGGGAAATAAGTATAAGATAATTTTGAAGCTCAAGATCCAATGGAAGAAAAAAACTGATTGCAACGATTCTTAGCCAAGTCACGCAACATATGTAACTGTTGGTCGTGACAATCTCGTATATATTATATATATATATATATCACCATATATATACCACAAAACTACAAAAAAAGATTTTACAGTTAAATAAGTTGTCACTTTTTCTTTGTAAAAAGCATAACTTTAACCTCTTTCATTTTTTAACAGAAACATATATAGGCATACTAGAAGTGACACATATATTGTTTTTAGGAACACAATAAAAAATTAAAGTACAACAAAGGTACTGTAGCCCACAAAAATGAGAGCAAAATGGAAAAAGGATAAAATTAATTTATAGTTTGTGGTCTTTTGGATGATCTGGAAAACTCGTAGTCCGAACATATCTCGATTTTGTCCAATTGCTGGAAGCTGGTTTAGATTCACATTCATGGAAGAAAATGTAGGACTTACGAATTCTCCAGTAGATCGAAGTTTCGTGTTGTAAAGAACAGTCCAGATTCAAACTGGCGTCCGTAGTCCATCGTAACAGTTAAAAGGTAGCCAAAGTTTGAGATCCATCATTTAACAAATGGATGGACTACTGTTTCAATAGTATTACTGCTGAAAATGGAATGGTAATATGTAATCAGATTGCATTTTAATTACATAATTTATTTCTTTATTAACTCTACTTGGAGCCTTTCTATGGTTACTGTCGGTTCCAAACCCAGATAAAGGAAGCATGTTGAGCGTGAGATCAGTAACTCCATCTCATAGAAAGAAAACTTTAACGAGAAGGATTTTTAATCAATAAAACCACCTTTTTCACTACCTCTCATTTCAACTCAGTAAATTTTTTGACAGTTCGTTAATCGTATTCCATTTTCTATCTAGGCTACATGCATGTAAACCGTTAGCTATCAAACTGCAATTTCCAAATATAAAAAACCAAGTTCACCTAGTCAGTACTTTCAAAATGAACTGATGATCCCATACTAATTCCGACCTACATATGCTTGAGAAGGCGTCGTAGAAATTCCCTTAGTCTACATGGTTTTAGCTGTATGTAAATTAAGTGTCATACTGTATGCATTATTATAACCAATGAAATACAATATATTAGATTTGTTGAATGTTGGCAACACCAACGTTCCATAGTGAAGAAATCACATCGAATGTTCCCAACAGGTCTTTTATGAGATGACTAATATGCCATTCTGAATTTAATGTTTGTTGTGATGCCTATTCAAGCCATCTGAAATAATAGAATTCATTTGTTCATGTTTTGTGAGAAAATGGCCTAACCTTTGAAAAATTCATCTGAACTCGCTGATGCTAAGACATAGATTATTGGATAGGAGAAAAATGAAACGAAGGTTATTCCGTTCTCCTCCGTATGACTGGTTGAAATCCAGGTGGCATTAGTGGAGGTGAGGAAGATGATGCGTCTCACATTTTAAAAACCTAAAATCGATATTTACATGTCAGCTGATGGACCATTCACAAGGTGGGTGGGTGGGGGGAAAATGATGTTCATACTCTCCTCTCTCACCTAAGCACGTTTTAACATATCCTAGACCCAATGGGCTGAATGAATGAATTGACCCTGAAAAGGGCTCTTTTAATTTTCTAACCCCCAGGCTATTTCTATGTCGCTTTGATTTGAACTAAAGTTGCAGGCTTGGACCTAATGGAATATTGGGTAAACATGGTGGGACTGACTAACCATATTTACGCATAATCACGTTCATTTTCCCTGTTGGAATCATATTTATTTCATACTGCACCAGATCTCATTTGACTAACTACATTAACTGATATTTGAATTATGTTATGGCTTTATTGGATTTAGGAATAACTCAAGACATTCCTTTGATAGTGGAGAAATCCGAAAAACTGGATTTTAGTATTTCACCAGGTGTTAATAATTTTCTTCCTCTGTCATCAGCTCGGGGTAAATTTAAACGAACGAAAAAACTTGAAAATCAGTCTCCGTTTACTACTGATTCATACTCAACATCTACGATGGTAAAAGAAAATAAATATTCGAATCGCAGAAGTGGCTTAACTCCAAGTGCCAAACGTTTGCACATGAGCTGTTCTGCATCAGCTTCACCAATGAAGTCAGTTGTAATCCCTAAACGTTTGACAAGATCCCAGTCAAATAGTCCTTGTGAAAAACTTAAAACTTATCCATTGGCTGATAACTCAAATGATTTTCGTTTTATTCATCGACACAAATCAACAGATAATGAATGCATTTTGTCGGACTCATCATCTATTGTACCCAGTCCAAACATATTCTCAAATGGATTTTTTGACTTTACAATGTGCGACCAATGTTCTGATTTACGGTCTCACTCATTAGATTCTTGGATGGATCATTTAGGTGAATTACATCCTGTACCGGTTCACTGGCCAAGTTCACGTGCTGATCGTCTAAATGAACTAGAAAAAAGATATCCTTATACCACAGTTGTTGGTTCTAACAAAAAACGTAAGGCCTCTGCAATTCCTCGGCCTTTAAATAGTTTTATGGTAAGTCTTTATTTTTAAACAGTTTCTGATGACTTTTATATTCCAACCATGTCTATTTATTTTATTCATTTATTGGTTCTGGAACAAGTAAAATTATTACAACTCAATAACCAAGCACAGTTCCATGTACTTATCTTTTAGTCACATAGTACTTTAAGGTCTAGCTATACTAATGGCTATCTAAATTAAAGCACATGCAACAATTTTTTGGTTTTAAAAGGAATGGATGAAGCTTACCTACTTTTCAATAGCAGGGTTATTTATCTCAGTCTCACGACTTCTAATCTCGTAGTAAAATGTCTTTTTCCTTCGAGATTTCACATATTTTGAAGTGGCATAAAAAATGAAGAAGGGGAATATTTAATCTGTTTCTATATCTTCAGTGATCGATCCCATAATTTATGTAAACCTACTCCTGGCGTCTCACTCGAATTGCAATTATATAATACTTGGTATGGCCCCAAAATACTTTGGTACAAATGAGGCCGGGGAGAGTCCTCTCTTCTTCTCAAAGTCTTTCCATATAGTTATGCGTGCATAAATACTGCCAGGAAAATCTTACCCAGTGTTTACGAATTTTGGGAGAATGAAAAGCGAATATCTGACGCTTAAACTGGGCTCGTGGTTACAACTTATGAATCTGTTGTTGGTCATGGGCTAGCGTGGGACTGCATCTGCTAACTTTGTTTCACTGCCTCGTGAATCAGAACTCAAGACTGAGGGTTTGAGAAGTGGCTTCCTAAGAAAACTAATTGCTTCGGTTCGGGCATCCATAAAATGTCCCAGCCAACTAACATGTTCACTGACTTATGTGGTGTATGTATTTTTTGGTGCCACTTTGTGTCAATGTTGATTTGCTTAACTAATAAGTAACAACCAGTACTTGGTATGGAAGTTTGAAAGTTATTTAAACGTTGATTTGTTAACTTTACTTGACATTTGTTTGTTCGGATATGTTACTGTAATACATGCTCATCATAATTTTTTCTTGCTTCTTTAAACATACACACGTTTATTTGTTATTTGTAGAAATCATGTATACTTTTTCCCACTGTTCTCTATTGTAGTTAGTTATCATTCATTACTGCAGTTTCTGTTATTGGCTTTCTGTTGTTAGTTTTTCATTATTATTTATAGTGTTATAGCATAGATCGATAGGCGTGTAGTGGATCTTTCATAAGCTCATCCGTTTCATGTACACAAACTAAATGAAAGTACCACTTTTCCCGATTTATCGTAATCCTGTTACAAATTAAATTTCATGTCACTTTTTGGCTGTTTACTTTATAATTTACACTACTTAATACGCAATTTTATATTCTGCAACTTTTTAAGTGTCTTATTTGTAAGTTTTATTTACAGAGTAATAGTTAGAGCATAAACATTTTATTATAATTAGTGAGATTGTAGGTGTTTTTATCTAGTGTTCTACAATATTAATCACATACATGTGTTTGAAAATGTTTTATATTTTTCTGTCTACATTTTCTTTTGAAAATGACGTCACTATTTTGTTGTCTACTGAGCTAAAACGTTGATGAGTATATCAATGTTACCTCCGGACATCAACAGGTCTACAACACATAATATTACCATTGTACGATAAAAGTAATTTTAAGTTTGATGTTGTTTTTACACATTTCCCAGGCATATATTAATTTGGGGACCAATTCAAGAGAAAGTAATTACTAACTATAAGAAAGTATTGCATTAAGTATTTAAAGGTTATGTTTATGACTCTCCAAAACGGTTTATTACGTACTTAGGATGTCACAAGTCCATAATAAATTATCTTTAATAGCTCAACTTATCTTCTTTGATAAGGAATGAACTAGTTGAGCGTGTCGACCGCCTCCCTTATCTTAGGAGTCTGAGGAGTGTAGATGGCCTGTCTACTGGCGAAATCTCAGCACGGGTACAGAAGGCTCGATTGACTTCGGCGAGATATCCATCTGCTCACCAAAGGGCCATTCTACGTACAGCAGTTCACCTAGTCCTACTTTTCGGGTGTGAAACATGGCCAGTAAGAGTGGAGAATATTAGTAGGTTACTGGTTCTCGATCATAAGTGTCTCCGAAGCATTGCTTGTGTGTCCTAGGATAACCGAGTAAGTAATGCTGTTGTAAGGAAACGGGTACTAGGCAAGGATGGTAGGTCAGTTGATGGAGTAGTGAAACCTCATCAGTTGAGATGGTTGGTACATGTGTTGTGCATGCCCAACCGCCGACTGCCTCGACGAGGTATGTTGTCTGATGCAGAAGTAGGCTGGAAGGAAGCTAGGGGTGGCCAAACCAATCCATGTATTCATCAACAACTGGACTGATTCATGTTAGTAGGTGTGAACTGCCTGGTTGCGGTCCGCGAGACAATCGTAACCGGTGGTTTGAGACTTCAAATGACATGGCTCACAAATCGTTTGCGATGGCGCAAGCATATCCGTTCTTCGTCTTGTCTCAAATTTTAATCTACTGAGTTCCTCATGACTTCTTTCTCTCTCGAAAATTGCTTCTTGTGTGATATACTTCTCGAACCATATCTTCAATCCCTAATCTTTCCGATTACCGCTAATACCGCCACAACGTTTACTACTATGGAATTAGAATTGACAATCCGATCTGTGTGGTAATGTGGTTGGCGGCTTGAACTGATGTACGTACGTACAAGTTCTACGTTGTGACGGATTGAAACTTATCTCCCTGCTTAGTTACTCGAAATTTTAAGTTGAATTACAGACCAAAGTTTGAAGTTCTTGATTTCTATTAGCAAAAGCTTTACATTGTAGATTATTTCTCGAAGTCCTTTTTTACTCATTAACCAGGAGGGTGCGGTTGCCATCCAGAAGATACTGAGTAAGCTATCTGACAATAAACATATTTAGATGCTGTTATCGAGCCACTAATCATATTTGAAATAAGTCAGATTTTGAATGCATGTTTTGACTTCATCACTTTTCTTTTATGAGTTAATTATCGGTCATGGTTATTTTTATTAGATCTTAGATTAAGAAAGAAAATAATTTTCAAATGACGCCTTATCACTTTTCGCTTTATAGTGTTTCACTACAACATTCAAATATCCCGGTTTAAACTGATCGTTGACTGTTTGTCGAATTCATGGCTCATGCAAAAAGATTTATTGTTGCATTCTTTTTGTATAAAGTTTATCGGTATCATTTTACTACTTGATCAAACCAGACAGTTCTTAAACTAGAATATTAACACAAAATATCCTCGCGATAAAAAAGGTAAAATATCTCGAAATATTTTTTAATGGTTAAGATTTATTTATTCTGTATTCTGAGTCTTTAGTTGGTGTTTTTTTCTTCACCTCTAATTTCTTAATTTCACTTTCTTTTTTAAGTTATGTTCCATGTGTTTTATTGTTAAGGATATTACCACCACTTTTACTCGTATAGTTTTCATCGTGTTCGTTTCCCCTCACATTAGGTAGTCACTTGAACTAGTGCGTATTTATTATAGATTCTACTCTTTCTATTATTAACTGACTTTAAAACACTTCAATAGCATTAAATACGGAATATAGTTCATTGAACTGATTTCACTCTTCCAGGAAATTTCATCAGAATTCTTCTTGTTTGTTAGATACATAGTAGACGCAGTCGCACTCATAACCATTCCAACTTTTCCAAACGGTATCATTAAATTAACTAAATGTGGTTCTTTATTGTTCTGTGAATGCTAATCATGACCCCAAGTACGTAATCATATATATCTTAGCTGTTGGTCAAATATGGTAGAACAGCCCAATACATAAGGAAAAGAGAGCATATTTGTGGATTGGGCTGTCCATTTCAACCGACTGGGGAAGTTAGAGTGTGTACCAATCTCCATCACTTCATATTCTCTTTGGCATATTGGTACTTCAAAAAAGTTAGAGAAGGACAGATCAACAGATACCATAGGTAGACAAAAGCACTGACAGTTGACCTCAGTCAAGTCGTTAGATGCGGACTTAATGTCTATGCTGAATTTAATACTCGTGACCCATAGTTTTAAAATCTATGTGTTAGCATCTTGTCACATAAGAAAATCACCAGGGCTAACAGCAATTTTAACCATAGTTGACGACTAGCAAGTTACTTTTATGATAACTTGGCTGAAGAAAGTGTAATTTTTGCTAAAATATCTGGCAAAATTGAACGGAAAAGAGAGAACATAGCCCTGACAAACTCCACCTGAAGTAGCCAATTCAAATAACTTTGCCATAAGCTCTAATCTGATTTATAGTTTTCGAATAAACAGCATTTCTCAGTTATAGACACACTCATAATAAAATTCTTGCTGTACATCCGACGTCAGTAGTTGTGCTTTTGTTCCAGAATCAATGACAAGGTGAATGTTTACACTCACGACCTTGTAAGAAACCCTAATTCTTCCCTGATTTGGTGTTTCCGAGCTTCAAGTAGTTATGGACGTCAGTATTTCAAAAACTGTATCGGTAAAACAAAATGTTCTGCAGTTGCCACAAAAAGATTTCCTAAACTATTAACTTTCCTACCCCAGTCTTTTCAAAATTTAAACGCTTGTCTAGTTTGTCATGTTTGCATTTTTATACCGATTACATCCATTACTGTTAACGATAACCCGACCGTAGTTGCTACCTTGACGTGGTGATCGGGCTTGCCTATCGTGATGACCCAACCGAGCTATATTGGCTGGAACATATGTTCCTGAAGGTTCTACCATGACAGGCAGGTCGATTGGAGAACGATGAGTCTAAAAGCAGCTACTGAAGGTCTGAGGGCGAAGTCGTACTGCTGATTGCAGAGAGGTGTGACAGCAGTAAGGTGTTTCCCTCGGACAACCAGCACCTGCAGCGATGCTGCCTTCTCACAAGGAAGGAAGGGTTAGAAAATGTCGACCCTAAAATTATCACACCTCACCCTACCTCACGGATTTCGGTCTCCGTCGGTAAGGGTGCCCACTAAGGGCCTTTAAGAGCGGAGCTAATCCTCAAAAAACCCTTCATAAAAGGCCGTGCGTGACCGGCCTCAAGCGGTTGTCCCTTGGGCTCTGCGGTCGCGCTCTCAGCTCTCTATGACCTACACTAACCCAACTCCTTTTTCAGGTTCCTCGAGAAACACCCTTCCACGGTGTGAGCAGCCGGGAAGTAACATCCGCCCTCATACCCGTAACAGCACTAGAGACAAAATTGGTCGAAATCAAATCTTTCCTGCACCCCCTAATATCTCTGTTCTCTCCACAACTAACTCTACTCACATTCCTTTATCTCACTGCACCGCTAATGCAAACGATGCGAGTTCGCGAAACGTCGTTCCTGGTCTCCTTAAACCCCATTCTACACTACATGTTGGAGCATTCAATTTACGGACATTGTGTCAAATAGGGCAATAGGCTTCATTAGCTAGGACTTTGGAATCTCGTTCCATCGATGTATGCTGCGTCTCGGAAACGCGCACACAGGATACGAGTAGCGTTATTCACTTGACCTCACCATGTCAAGATAAAGAAGCAACTCGACTTACTCTTCGTGTATCTGGAAGCCCTGGTGCTGCTTCCCGGGTATTCGCTGGTTTATGTATATCATTGAGTTCTAGGGCAGAACTAGCTATCCTACACTGGATTGTATTAGATAGTCGATTGTGCGCTGTCCGTCCGAACGGGACTGTAAGGACTCGGGAAGATAGGGACACTCGCCGTTGCCTCTTCGTTGTATCTGCCCACACCCCCACTGACTGCAATTCAGACGACGTGAAAGATTTCGGACCTCCTTCAAAAGTTAGGCACTCTGATATAGTGATAATGGCTGGTGACTTCAATGCTCAAGAAGGTAGGCTAGCTGAAAAGGAAAGACACCTAGGTGGATGTTATGGTGTCGCGGCTAATAGAACAGATATTGGCGAACATCTTCTGCATATATGCTCCATTAGGGCGTATTCCTAGCAATCACAATCTTTAAGCATAAGGTAAAACAACTTTCCACCTGGAGACCCCCAAAGCCGACCCAACGAGATCAAATCGCTATAAGACGTCGGTGGAGAGGCTCTGTTGAAGACTGCCGCTTATTCTGGAGCACTTGTGTAGACTCAGAACATGCTCTAGTGCGAACGCGTATTTGTTAACGCCTTATTGGACGCAAGAAAACCTCTTAGGGTTCTACCTAATGATATCAGAGCTATGAACATATTTCAGAAACAACTAGAAAAACAGTTAGGCGACCATGTAAGTGATTCCCATCCGGAGACAGATTGGAATGATATCAAAAAGGTTGTGGAAACAGCAGTGCTATCTACTAGTAAGGTAAACCATAAGGCTAGAATGAAGCCGTGGATCTCAGTAGTATCCACAGAAATGATAGACGCTCGTAAACTCATCTCACCTGACTCCGAACATGATGAAGAGCGAAATCAGCTCAGGCGCAGGCTAATAAAAAGCGTACGCAATGGTCGAGAACAGTGTTGGGTAGCAGAAGCAAGGGAAACGGAAAATGCAACGGTGATAGGCAACGGTAGGCAACTATTCAAACTCATCAAGGAAACTGGTATTAGGAATGCTAGTGTGAGTGAGACTATCTCGGAAAAGGATGGTCTTATTATTCGATCTCAATCCAGGAGATTTGATCGATGGGCAGAACACTTCAGGGATCAGTTCAACTGGCCTCGAGCCACTCTTTGGTTACCCACGATCTCTAGTCCTCCTGAATGGCAAATCGACGTAAGCCCCCCTAGTCTTTATGAAGTTGAGAAACCTATGGAAAATCTGAAGCGATGAAGAGCAAAAGGTCCTGACAGGCGAACTACTGAGATTTCTAGGGATTGTGGTCCAGTTTAAGCAGTTAGATTGACTGAGATCTTATGTAGAATCTGGGAACTGGACATAATCACTGGTCTCGATCACTGATTGTCCCAATTTACAAGAAAGGACAAAAGTCCTGTGATAGATAGGGGAATAAGTCCTACTAATATGGTTTCTAAATTGTTTGCTTCGACAACCCTTAGACGCGTAACTGGAGCTCATGAAGAGCAGACTAGAGAAAATCAGTCTGGTTTCAGACCCGGACGTAGCTGTATAGACCAAATCTTCACACTACGATAGGTCCTGGAACACAGACACACATTTACGGGTCTGGAAATAGTTATCTTCCTGGACCTTAAGGTGGCATTTGACTCTGTGGATCGTGAAGTTCTATTGCAGTGTCTGTCACTGAAAGGAGTGCCAGAGAAGTACATTAACCTCATACAAGCTATCCACTCGAACACTACAGGTCGAGTTAGAGCTTATGCAGAGGTGTCATCGGAATTGATTACTTCAGGTGGTTTCCATCAGGAATGTCCACGTTCTCCATTCTTGTTTAATTCTGTCATAGACACGTGCTCCTAGATATAGCATTATCTTCGTCTGAATTTTCAGTAGTAGACCTTCTACCAGGAGGCTCACTTATTGACTTAGAATACGCCGATGACATAGTTCTATTCGGTGAAGACGCTGACAAAATGCAGTCTTCTGACCACTTTGTGCAAGCTCGTTCGTAATGCTACTCTCCCCGTCGAAATACAAAATGTTGCTTTAGGATTGTCTTGGATTGGCACCTGAACAAGTCATAGGGAGTGAAGTAGTTGAGCGTGTTGATGGCCAGTGAAAGTGGAAGATATCTCTAGGTTACTTTTTCTCGATCATCTGTATCTCCGAAGCATTGCTCGAGTATCGTGGAACAGCCGAGTAAGCAATGCTGCTGTTAGGAAACGGGTGCTAGGTAAGAATCGCAGGTCAATAGATGAAGTAATGAAACTTCATCAGTTGAGGTGGTTGGGGCATGTGCTGCGTATGGCTAACCACCGACTGCCTCGTCGAGCTATGTTTTGTGGTGTAGGAGTAGGTTGGACGAAAGCTAGGGAGGGCCAGAGCAAAACATGGCAGAAATCCATGAAGTCACTGACAAGTGGATTGAGTCATGTCGGTAGGTGTCAACTACCTGGTTGGGGTCCGCGAGATGATAATAATCGATGGTTAGAGACCGTGAGTGACATGGCTCAAAACCGTTTACAATGGCGCAGGTGCATTTATTCTTTGTGTTCTGTGAAATTCTAACCTTCTTAATTCCTCATCACCTCTATCTCTCCCTTTTTAAATTTACCTCACTGAATTATGTTTCTTGAATAACATCTCGAACCCTAATCTGTCCGATTACTTCTTATACTTTAACTACTATGGGATTTGAATTGACAGTTATATCTCTGTGCTGATGTGGTATAGCGACTTTAACTGCTGTACATACGTGCAAAGTTTTACTTTGATGTTGACTGATTGATTGACCTCTGAATACCAGGACTAATAAAGCTATCGACTTTTCCATCTTGTCTTAATAAGAAAAACAATTTGACACAACACTGAAAGACTTCGAGAATCACTGCACGTCCAGTCGCTGGTAGTCTAATGAGCTTAAGTAAATACCATTAAAGTAACTAACAAATAGCGAACACCACCTTTAATCTATCCATACTACTGTAGTCAGATTCTTCCAGCTTGTCCTGTTTGTAAAGAAAAAGGGGTTATGAATTTCATTTCCGTAATGAATGCCATCATAGTTTGGTGGTTCTATCACATATTAGGTTGGCTCCGCTTCTCACCATGCAATCACCTATCATCGCCTACTTTTGTGACAGCTAGTAACTACCAACTAATATTCAAGACCAGTGGTTCTACTTCCTTTAAAAATGTAAAGTATGCATATCAGACTCAAACACAACCGATGCCATTTTTTCTTTCGCTTATCGTGGCTGACAGTCCTTTTTCGATTGCCAGTCTCAATTTCACCAATTAAGGTGTATGTAACGTTTTTTAATTGCGTAACTCGTCACTTCAAGCTGTATGCAGTTGAAGAAAGGCATTAGAATATGATGAATTAGTTTTATTCCACAAATTTCTTGCTTACAGTTGGCAACTACGATAAAAATATTTACCAAACTGGATGGATTCTACTCCAGGATGGAGGTTTGCAGTTAAGATAAATTTCATTCTGAACTCGTTAACTGTACAGCGAAGCTCAGAATAAATTCGCGTATTCAAAAGAAACCTGCTACTGTACTTGATAATTACCTAACGTACCGGCTACCTTGACGCAATGGTCGGGCTTGCCTGTCGTGATGACCCAACCGAGCTTTATTGGCTGGAACATATGTTCCTGAAGGTTCTACCATGACAGGCAGGTCGATTGGAGAACGATGAGACTAAAAGCAGCTACTGAAGGTCTGAGGGCGAAGTCGTACTGCTGACTGCAGAGAGGTGTGACAGCAGTAAGGTGTTTCCCTCGGACAACCAGCACCTGCAGCGATGCTGCCTTCTCACAAGGAAGGAAGGGTTAGAAAATATCGGCATAGAAAAATGCTCTCATAATAAACTATTTCTTGTCAATGGATGTTTAACGATTATCAACAGATCAAGCAATATGAAATCTAGTACTTGTATATTGTTTAGAACTCTTACGCATTTGAAAAATACGGCACGATGAGCTAACAAGAGGAGTTAAACGTTAGACTAAATTTTAAAAATTTCTGTCTTGATAAATACGGGTAACTAATAATACATCCAAGTCATATCAAAATGGTTTATCCCATTTTGTTGCGTATCTTTTTGCAATCATACTAGTGAGTTTTGAAGAATAAACATTCCTTTAATTTTCCTCTTCGTGAATCACTACAGATTTTCGCCCAATACCTTCGAAGAATCGTACTACACTGGTTTCCGGATGCACCTAACGTACACATAAGTCAACGAGTTGGACAGCTATGGAGAAAACTAGATTTAAAAATGCGTGATAAATACATAGATGAAGCTTTTCGTTTGCAACAGTTACATGCTATAGAATTTCCTGACTATAAATATAGACCTAAAAAGCGTGCACGTAATGTAGCTGGCACTGACAATAACATTGAAGCTGATGAATACATTTCGAAGTCAGAGAATGTCATACCAATTACATCAAAGTCGATAACATTTAATGATAACAGTCACCCTGGAACGAAGTGTGAAAATGTTCATTTCCCAAGTGGTCGAAGTTTAACCACTTGCTTAAACAATCGAAATTCTGATGAGAACCATTCTCATACACCATTATTAATTGAACAACACAAAACTACTGCTGTAAACTCCGTCACTTGCAGCCGAAATTATCTACAACCAAATCAACAGGTAATTAATAAAATGAACATGGAGTTATACCAACCTGTAAAAGCAGATTATAATTCCCGTACAACACGTATTAGCAATCCATATGACAAGAAAGTGTCCACACCGCCTGGCGTAAACGATAACCATATTTTCAAGTTAAATAAGGAAGTAGATGAAACCATGACACTTTTAGTTTCTGGTAGTGCGGAAATCGGACACGGAGCATACCAGATGCACAAAACTATACCACGTCAAACTAATGATAGAATAACTGAATCTCTGGTATTACCATCATCAGCACTAAGTCAGGGAAATCAAATCAAAGAAATACAAATCTTAAATATGCAGTCACCAAATGTTCAACAACTTGCAAATGGACAGCCAATCATATGCCGCACTTTTCTGTGTGAACCGCTTAAGGCAACTGTTATTAGTCAGCCTGGAATCATCCCAATTAAAACGAATGGCTCGATGTTAAACGGGTTAATACTTGATACTAATGTGAATAATTTCGGTTTCCATCCTTTTCCTACAAAAGCCATTGATAGTACTACATCATCCTTATATCCGAAAATTGATTTTTATTGTAATAAAGTAAATTCTAACCCTTTGTCGAAAATCGAGTTGGAAAATGTTGTATCTCAGTGTGTCAATTCACCGAGTGCTCGTAACCATAGTAAAGATTATCCAAGGGGAAGACTAGGTAAAAAATATGTCAGAAAGGATTGTCGCATTTTAAGTTCTAAACAGAGTGTTGATAATGGGAAACAGTCCGCTACTACTGATTCATATGAAATTGATGTGTTATCCAGTCGTCATACAAATACGCCTTTATTCTTGGAAAGTCTGAGATTGAAGTGTGAAAATGATAACGTTGATGCAGCTTTCAGTTTTACTGATATCGATACATGCAAATCAGGTACTTCTCTTGACGATTTAGAACAGATCTCTTTATTTTCTTGTGAGAGTACAAGCGACGTCTTACAGACATTGGACGCTTTGAATTCACCAACCGAAGATCACTCATCATTTGTTAAGTCTGAAAGTATGTACAACCACCAGCTGATGAAAACACCACATGAAAATTCATTCACACAATCTAACGGCTTGCCAAGCATTGAGTCATGGACATTCGGGACATCGAAGACTTCTCAAATAAGTTGAGATATCTTTTTCACCATAGAAGTAGTATTCTTTTTGATATGTGCATCTCTTCCGGTCAAATGGATTTGAGTACTACTGAACATAGATACGAGATATCCCCTCACTTATTTCCCATTGTTATTTTTGATCGAAATGGACCCCCATCATGCTTTATTTTTCTTATATGACCAGCTTTTGATAAATGCTTAATTGATAATTTCAAATATTTATTGCTGTCACTCGATGAATAGATCAAACATAATATGCTATTTATAATATAAGTTCCTATTTTATAAGAATGGCTTCTGATTTATTGATACGGAAATAACTGATTTTACCTCAAGAGTTCAGACAGTCACGATTTTCATTTGAACACTAAGGTACAGATATAGACTACAGTTAAGACATGAGTAAGTGATTTTACGAAGGTATTTAGTACAAACTAACATCGTACCATGGATATACAATTTTCAAGCCACTGCTCTAGCAATATATTCGATAAGCAGTTGCAGAAATCTTCCGCATACTGTGATTACAAACTAGTGGAATTGTCTTCGTGATAGCTGGACTTCATCATAAGTGAAATGAAGTCAAAAGTGAGTTTTAAATTAGGGAACGATGTACACTAGTTGGTTCTGTTATTGCTTTTACAAGAAAAGAAAGAGCATAGCTTGTGTTAGAACTCCTGTGCCGTTAGTATTAATATGCAACAATAAAAACACACGGTTGATTAAACCACTTCTCTCACGTCATCTAAGTATGGTGGATGCTACTCACAAGGTGAAACATAAACAGTATGCAGCGGAGCGCCACCCACAAGTTGCCACCAGAATATTTCAAAAACCAGATGAATGTGAGAGAAGATAGTCAACCTGCTTGGATTGTGAGTGAATGTCTGGGAACTACGTGCACATATTTCATCTCCAAATATGTATGTCCCACTTTGTCTTGACCGCTTCGTAAGTTACGCGAACGTGTACAGCCATAACTTGTAACATCTGTCTAGTATGTTGTTACATCAGTTGTCCGTTTGGTGCTAATATTTTTTAAAAATGGATCTGCCAATTTCTAAGTTTATAGCAAAGGTATTTTCGACTTGAAAATGTACTTGCTTTTAATGGGAAAGTTATATGGGTCTATTTACATTATCAAGCTGCTTGGTGCTTGAAAGGCAGCATCCTTTAAACCTCCATGACACTTGATTCGACACAACCTGACAAATGGTGACCCAACAGTACCTGTTATACTGAAGGTTGGAAAGTAATTTAGTTGGAGAGCTAATTGGAATCAGGCCACTTAACCGAGACGACCGCAAGCTCACGATCCCAACACTGAATTATCAGGATACTCTCAAAATGTAAGTTCCGATCGAACATTTTACAGATTTTCAAACAACATTCCTCGTCCAATTTATCTGTTACCGTTGAAAAATTTATTACCTTGTTCAGCCCATCTGATAATTGTTTTGTTAAGCGTTCGCAATTACTTCTATATACTTGAATTCGTACCACTTTCTAGAGCTAACAATACTAGGTTGGTATATATTATTATTATCGAACATATGAATTAGTGTAGAATCGATTTCAAAAATTAATTTAAAGATATTTTTCACACTACTAGTCTTTTTTTTACTTAATTTATGGACTGGAATTACTACATTATCAACATTCTACACACAAACTTTTCCTACTAAAAGTCTACGGATCTATTCTAATTTCAAATCACCAAATTTACTTTTTGGATTACATTCACCTCGATTACTCTAGAAAAGCATTTTCATGCATTTAGTGGGTCCATTTCCTGATTTTCTGTACAGATGATTACTTAAATTTGTTCAGTAATGTTATCAAGGAGGCTAGAACTAGCAAAACCAAACTTGGCATTTTGTGATATCATACGGTTTCCAACGAAAACTGTTGTATAGTAACAGCTGGTAAAACCGCAAGAGTCTACGAACCATGTGTTACAATGTATTGGAATATTTCCTGCCAGAACTAGTGGTGATTTATCGTTAATATTACAAGATATAAAAGAATAAAATATAGTGGTTAAGAGGTCGAGCGTTTGCGCGCGACACTCATGGTCGGAATCGCCCACAAGCATAGCTGGAGAGTCCCATACTAGAACGAAGCGGCCGCCTAGTGCTTCCAGGTTACCTATGGTAGTCTAACACCAATCGATTCATGATCTCGATGAACGAAATAAAACATCAAAAAAGAACAGGTTTACTGAATGTATGGAAACATCGGTCTTGAGGAGTTATTAGGGATTATTATAACCCATCAGGCAGTCGATCTGACTCTGACCCGCTCTTAAGTTACGTTCCAATCCTCAGTACCTCGGATACTTCCGTCACAAACAAATCACACGAAAGGAACTCATCCCATATATCAATAACTACTCGTTATCTGGCGAAAAGTTCTTAATCGCGTTAGTGTCTAATGTTTAGCCCCTAACTAGCGTATACAGTTAGGGCAGTCTTGTAAACCCCTAAAGTTTAAAAATGACGTCGCCGAGGAAACCGAATTTGTGAAGTCCAAATCAATCAGTTCGCGTTTGTTTCAGTATGAAACTTGCATACCTCATACGATTAGATACTACCATCTATTGAGAGAGAGGGATTACGTCCAATTACCTATATCTCACTGTATCGAATTTTCATTAGAGAAACAGTAGCATAACTTTTACGTACACCAGATTCCGAATAAACGAGTGACAACGTAAGATGGGCGGAAGTCTGCGGTAGTCGTATCGTACCTTTTAGGCTAGCAGTCATCATAAGTTATTAACTATTGCAATCATGCCTTCCCATTTCGCGTAGTTTGATCGATAACATTCGCATACGTACTTGCTGAAAAGAAAACTTTTGATAAATGAATCTATTTGAAAGCAGGATAAAAAGATGGGATACAGGTGGCCTTCGATAAATCAAATGTCTCTAATATCTACGGTTATACTATGTACTTAACACGATTACGGTAACAGAGACCAGTTTACCTAACTTATATACTATTCAATAACGGAAACAATTATTTGACCTATCAGTCAATCTATTTCAACAGTATGGCAAGGTGAGAATGTAATTATGCTAATTAATGAGAAGTGGAAATCTAATTGGTAGTATACTGTTCGTTTTGATTACATCCTACAAATAATGCTGTTGAGGTATACAAAAATCTCATTTTAAGAAATAGATCCAACTTATACATAGAATTTGTAGCTGCTCATTAAATATTTTATTCCTACTGTGAAACTTGATGACCTTTTCTTAAATTTAAGAGAATATTTGGATTTTGAATAATTTCAAAAGATATATAGTAAACAATAAAGTAAACAGAAGACTAGCGAAAAATCAACAATCAAATATCTACATTTGTGTTGAAATGTTACTTTCAACTTGATTATAGCAAGCAGCCGCTAAAGTTCCGATTAACATTCCTAGTATTGCTGTTTGCATTGGTCCAATATGGCTAGCGAAACCTAATATCCCACCACATCCCAGACCGATATAACTGAAGCGATCCACACGAACCTAAATTAAAAGAGGTAGTAAAATCAAGGAAGTTACAAAAACTGTCAAGTGACCATATAAATGCATAAAAAGATATTACAAGGCATTCTATGATGCTGAAGTGAAGTGTCCTGCCCATCGGTCTAAAAGTCTCATCATTTCTCAAAACAGTCTCTCTAACTGTTGCTGATTTTTCTACCTCTCGCTTTCTTCACCTACAACTGTTCACGATCATTGCGTGGGCATCTTGTCCCGACCGAAGCTGCTACCTTGACGTGATGGTCGGGCTTGCCTATCGTGATGACCCAACCGAGCTATATTGGCTGGAACATATGTTCCTGAAGGTTCTACCATGACAGGAGGGTTGATTGGAGAACGATGAGACTAAAAGCAGCTACTGAAGGTCTGAGGGCGAAGTCGTACAGTCAGTCAGATGCAACGTAGAACTTTGTACGCAAGTACATCAGTTCATGTTGCCATACCACATCAGCACAGAGAAGTAATCGTCAATTCAAATCCAATAGTAGAAGAGGTAGTAAAGGTATTAGGAGTAATCGGAGAGGTTAGGATTAGAAGATATTATTCAAGAAGTATGATTCAGTGAGAAAAGTTTAGAGAGTCGAAACTAGAGGTGTTAGAGAATCCAGAAGATTAGGATTTGAGAGAACACAAAGCATAAATGCACCGGCGCCATTGAGAACGATTTTGAGCCATGTCACTCACGGTCTCTAACCATCGATTATTATCATCTCGCGGACCCCAACCAGGTAGTCGACAATTACCGACATGGCTCAGTCCACTAGTCAATGACTTCATGGATTTATGCCATGTTTTGGTCTGGCCGCCCCCAACTTTCTTCCAACCTACTCCTACACTACAAAACATAGCTCGTCGAGGCAGTCGGTGGTTAGGCATACGTAACACATGTCCCAACCACCTCAACTGATGAAGTTTCACCACTTCATCTATTGCTCTCCCATCCTTACCTAGTACTCGTTTCCTAACGACAGCATTGCTCACTCGGTTGTCCCACAGTTTACGAGCAATGCTTCGAAGACACCTATGATCGAAAACCAGTAACCTACGAATATCTTCTACTCTCACTGGCCACGTTTCACAGCCATATAGGAGAACGGAGCGAACTGCTGCACAGTACACTCGTCCTTTGATTAGAGAAGGGATATCACGCCTACGCCATAAGTGACGTAGGTTGGCAAAAGCCAATCGAGCCTTCTGTATCCGAGCTGAGATTTCGTCAGTCACCAGGCCATCGGCACTGATGAGACTCCCAAGATAAGTGAAGCGGTCTACACGTTCGACTACTTCACTCCCTATCACTAGTTCAGGTGCCGATGCAACCCAGTCTTGAAGCAACATTTTGCATTTCGAGGGGTAAAACCGCATCCCGAACATGATTGCATTGTTGCTTAGGGTAGTCAGAAGACTCTGCATTTTGTCAGCATCTTCACCCAGTAGGACAATGTCATCGGCATATTCCAAGTCAATAAGCGGGCCACCTGGTAGAAGGTCTACTCCTGAGAAATCTGACGAGGACAATGTTATGTCTAGGAGCATGTCTATGATAAAATTAAACAAGAATGGAGAAAGTGGACATCCCTGACGGACACCACTTGATGTAGAGAATTCCAATGACAGTTCGCCATAAGCCCTCACTCGACCAGTGGTGTTCGAGTAAAGGGCTTGTATAAGGTTAATGTACTTCTTTGGTACACCTTTCAATCACGGACACTGCCACAGAACCTCACGATCCACTGAGTCAA